ACGGGCGTGGGATAGAATTACACACGAAAGTCTTATATTTTGCTGCACCTAAGCAGGTACTCTTCTCACGAGAGATATCTTAGTCGAGCCAAGAAAATAAGAAGAGAGCTTGAGAAAAAGAAACACAGGAGAGATCGATAACGGGAAAATAGGTTGCGATATATCATCAGAGACGACCATCTCGAGGAGAAGGATATTCACTTTTTAATTTTTTATCCATCGTTCGAGTGTACAAATTAAGAAATTCCGACAAACATCGCTAGACAGGAGATTTTTTACAAATTTGTAGTATGTTATTTATTTATTTATTCTTTATTTATTTAATTATTTTTATTTATTTATTATTTATTTATTTTATATTTATTTAATTATTTTTATTTATTGATTATTTATTTATTTTATATTTATTTAATTATTTTTATTTATTTATTATTAATTTATTTAATATTATTTATTACTTATTTGTTTAATATTTATTTATTTAAAAGAAAATTATATGAAAAGCATTAAGAAAGATTTGAAGAAAAATTCATTTTTCGACACGTACAGTCGAAATCAAGCACTCTATAAATCGTTGGTACAAATCACGTATAAACCGCGCTATTATTACTTATTTATTTATAATAAATTATAACTGTATAAAAACATTAAGAAATGGAAAAATTCACTTTCGAATGAAATAGTACAGTGAAATCAAGCACTCTATAAATCGTTGGTACAAATCGCGTAGTCATGGGGAAACACCGCGGCCGCCTATTTAATTAATCATCGAAGGACAGATTTATGGATTTATCGCGGGCAGACGGCGTCCGTCGTCCCATTGTTACGTTCGTTTTGCACAAAACGATTGCATCGCTACACAGGGGGTGTGGAGCGGCGAGGGGTGGAAGGAGGGGGGGGGGCAGCGGGACGGCGGGCAGTTTCGCGGACGGCTCGTCGAACCGTTCGGTCGTTACCGAACGAGAGTCGTCGATCCGCGACGGGCTCTCCCCGATAATTTCGATAGTTTGTAATTAAATTTAATGGCTCCGCTGGTCGTCGACGCGCCGCGCGAGGGATTTGCTTGCATAGTTTGTTGCACGCATCGTCGAATCGACGCGGTCGCGTTGCGTGCGTCGCATACGTGCTCCTTCCCATCCCCCATGGTATATTCGCGCTTTTGTCCCAAGAGAGGGAAACGCATGTTTCTCTCTTTCTCTCTCTGTCTCTCTGTCTCTCTGTCACTATTTTTCTCTCTCCTTTCCTCGCCCTTTCTCTCGATGAGAGTTTACTTGGCGAAGAAACTTGCAAACAATTCGCGCGCCAAACAATAAACGAAGACATAAATTTCCTAGAGCTCCGAGACAAGTCGTCTAGACCCTTCTAGAGTCCAACGGGACGATTCGTCCCGGGAAAAGATTTATATTTTTATTTATACAGAGCGATTAATATTTTGTAAATATGTCATAACACGAGACGTCGTTTGTACATTTTAATTTACAGTATTTATGTAGATCACTTGATTTGGAGAACGAATTTTTAATTTTTTTTTTCTTTATTCCCTTAAAGCAAATAGCAAATTTCTCCATGAGAAATATGTGATTCTGCTCTTCAAATATGACGGGAGAGAGTTGTGTTTATCGTTGTATGTTTTAGCAATTTCGATCTTGGTAACGATGTAGCATCAGCGGTTACAAACATTAATTTGCAATGTTTATCCCGGTGTACATCATGTTTGCAAACACAGAATGCGTGGATCAAGATTATAGATAATCAAAGATTATTCGATACCTATTATGTATGAGCGAGTAATCCTTTTTCGAGATATTCTCAATTTCTCTAAAAGCTCTCGATTCGGTAATCCGATTATTGTGCGAAAAAAAGTTGGCAGAAAGTTTTACAAGATTCCATTTATTCCAAAAAAATCAGCAGTGCAAATTGCTAATTCGTAAATTCTCCTTTTGTACCTTGATATTGCCTCGTTTCGATTCTGCGTTTTTTTTTCTCTTCTCTCTCTCTCTTTCTCTCGTCGGTATTTAAAAAAGAAATCAAATAAGATCTCTTGCATAAAACATTTCGATACCTAGCTCGAACATCTTTCGAGATGTAAGACAAAAGAAGGAGGGAAATTGAACATTCCTCGGAGCGAACTTTAATTGTATGGCTCGTTCATCTAGTTTGACTTTTCATCACGAGATGATGAAACGTAACGTTGCTTTCCATTAGTACCGCCATCGCGCGTATACAGAAATTCTATATTAGAGCAAACATGGGAAAGGAGATGGATGGGGAGACGGGGGTGGAAAAGTTCCAAGTTGGTGCAAAAGCAAGAGCAAGCGGCCCTATTGGTAGTTCTCTTTTATTACCTGGAAAGTGGCACTTCCGGATAATCGGTTTCGAGCGGAAGTTATAAGTTCGTTTGGCGGTGTCGAGAGAAAAGTCGATCTTGACCCTGTTCCCATCTCACCCTTCTCTCACAATGGCTTGTTTATTACGAAAGAACTTGTCTCTCTTTCTCTCTCTCTCTCTCTCTCTCTCTCTCTCTCTCTCTCTCTCTCTCTCTCTCTCTCTCTCTCTCTCTCTCTCTCTCTCTCTCTCAAAAGTGCTTAATAATTTCACGGAAAATGTCCCGAGATTCGCCTTCAAAAGCCGGATACGATGCTTCTTTATCCTGGTCGTCGAGTGTTTATATAAAATGTCCCAGAATTTCTCCGGCTTAATTTAATGACGGATTCTTTGATCAATTTAGAGTTTAGCGTTTCTTAATTAAAATCTCAAGACAGCGATAGTTTCCGAGGTACAACCATCCCTAATGTCCACTCAAACAAAAATGTTGTTCCTATTGTACAATTAGATTCGATCAAAATTTATCAAATTTCGATTCGAGATTTGTCGCAATTTTTTTTCCCCTGAAACAGTCAATTTTCAATTTTTTTTCCCAAACTTTAGGGGCCTCTAGCTTGGGTTCATTTGCGGACCCATATTCATAGGAAAAAAAAGTCTTATTTATACGCTCCTAAAGTTTAGTGCATCATTTCACATACATCCTGTATATTTAATATTAAGTATTAAAAAATATTAAACGTTAAAACAATTGTTTACACTAGTAGAATTTTTCTACAAAAACACACGTTTATTTATTTTTTTTAAACAAATCGACTTTAAATTCGCGCAAAAAAATCGCGCAAAAATTTAAACGGGAATTTCTTGGACATTACGTTACGTGCGCGCGCGTGAATATGTATACGTGCATAAAGTTCCGTAGACCGTGCATAATTGGTAATGAATTTCCAAAAGTTGGAAAAGCACGACGAAAGCACGCGGGCGAGCCGACCTGGCAAACGAGATGGTGTCTCTCTCCTCCTCCTCCTCCTCCCCCTCCCCTCGTCCTCCCCCTCCCATTAAATCCAAATCAACTTCCTAATATGAACGAATGGTTTTTCGCCAACGGCACATGACGCCGTGATAATATCGCGCGCCATTCGTCATCATTAGCCCGGACGGCGAATGCATTTCCTGTGTTTTTTATCCTGCATCCCGAATTCGCGTGTGACCACCGATATACACACGCGAGCGCATCTTGTGCGCGTGTGCGAATGTGTGCGTACACGTTGGCTGCTACCGCGCCGCCATTGTAATTTCATTTTCAAAATTCAGATACAAAGGATCCGGACAAGTCGGCTCGGAAACCATAATAAAAGGATAAAGGAAGAGGGCGAAGGGGGGGTCGAGAAAAATATCCGAGCTTTAGCAAATTAAAACTATAAAAAACTCCCTCGCCGATAGAAAAAGGATAATACAATAATAATCGGAAAGAAGGCTATTTTCAAGATCAAGCGCAGGTGGGAATACCATTGTGACAAAAATTTTTGCAATAATTCTTTATAAATTCAATAATTCTTACATTTTTTTTTTCTTTTTTTTTTTTTAAAGATGTTTTGTACCTACTTTTAAAATATTGAGAATTTAATGAAAATTGTGCAGAATGTCCTTACATATGTTTAGAATTTTCAGTACAATTTTTAAATCGATTCACTAAAGCGTTCACAAGTTGTAAGGATTTTAATTTGTACCGAATATTAACATGTGTTTTTATGGGAAACGTATAACCACGATTCAAATAACAAAAACACATGGAAATAATATTCAGAATTTGTTTAAAATTTGCAATAGTTTAGATACAGAGGAAATATTTGATCAAATAATATTATACGAGTACTAACTAGTTAAAAAGATATTAAATATAATTTAATGAAATTAGCTATGTATCTGTCACGAGGCGAAATTTTCTGCCAAAAGTTAATCATTTCGATTAACAAAATTCGGAATATATTTCAGTAAAAACGCAATAAATATTAAAAAATACATCTCTGCACTGTAGCTAAAATCAAATTGTAATATTCCACACAATTTCTCATACTCAAAATACCCCAAAAGTGGATATTCATCAATATTGATTTTCAGCTATTTTTTGCTAGGATTATACATGCAAAACATCCTTAAAGAATTGTCATATTTTCCTCATCTCGTCAAGTCGGAGCAAGAACGCGTCATTTCGACATTTTAATTCCAAGTAGCGTGCATGACTCTCCGTGTAATAACGCGACGTAACCGGGGATTTTTCTGTCGAAAACGCGAAATAATAACGTCTCGGTGGACGCGACAGGCGTGTGTACGATACGGTCCCATGCTATGACAATTCCATGGAAACGGGTATCGGGGATCCGTCCGAGTATGAAGTTCCGGGTGCAATCTGTATTGTTTCCACGTCAATTAAACTTGTTTGATATTTCCGCTGCAATCACACCGCAATGGTGACGGTAACATCGATTCCGCGCGCGCGCTTAATCGAATTCGAGGAGTAGCGTTGCTCTTTGCGATTCCCTTACTAATAACATTGTTATCGGCTGGCTCCGCACCGGGGGAATTTCGTCGTACCTTGCCTTACGTTTCGCCTTACCTTCTCCCTTCCCGAGCTCTCTCTATTCTTGGCTAACCCGATTATCGCGCTTCTGTTTCAGTGCTCGCCAGCTGCCGGGGTGAAGAGTGCGGACACGAGGAGCTCGTGAGGTGCGCCAGGCCCCTCGAGAAAATCAGCAGCAACGACCTGGGTCTCGTCGTAACGAAAAAGGAGGAACTCAACAAACTATGCCCGTGAGTCCTTCGTCTCTCGTCTCTATTCGGCCCGCGCGGCTCCTTCGAGCCGATCTTCGTTGTTACCTGTCGTTTCTTTACATGTTCCATGAGATGCGACTGCACCAACTTACTCCGAGCAATTCCGAGACGTTGGTTTAGGGGTCCCCCTTCTTTCCTCTCCTCGAGAAAAATGACCGCACTGAGAAAAAAATCTGGTTGCATTTATTAGAATTCTGGTAGATTCTCAACCGGTATGTCTGTTGGAAAATGAACGAACCAGAATTAATAATACTAAACTCGCCAGCACTAAGTCGCCTCAAATTTTTCCCATCTAATCTCAAAAGTCTGTTTAATATTCTGAATTTCAACAAAATTATTGGATAAATTCAATCCAGATTATTGAATAAATTATTTTAAATTCAGTTTGTTAGAAATTAAACTGATAAACAGTGCAATATTGAGAAAAAAATCTGGTTGTATTAATTAGAATTCTGGTAGATTCAACCAGTATGTCTGTTGGAAAATGGACGAACCAGAATTCTTGTAGGAATTACCAGATGAATCTGATTAATTTCTTCCTGTTAAATTTACCAAATTTTCTCGTTAATAATACTAAACTCCCCAGCACCAAGTCGTCTAAAATTTTTTCCATCTAATCTCAAAGTCTGCTTAATATTCCGAATTCCAACACGATTATTGCATAAATTCAATCCAGATTATTGAATAAATTATTTCAAGTTCAGTTTGTTAGAAATTAAACTGATAAACAGTGATGCAAAAAGAGGATGCAGCTCACACAATCAGAGAGCTAGCGTCCTCTTTCTGGCCCTACTGCTCGTAAGACAAAAAAAAATATTCTTTGAATTTAATGTTAATACTAATTCTTTATATACATTTATGGCAAATATTGAATACGAATTAAGTTAAGAAGCAAGCAAAGAAATTAATGTAACAAGAAATTTGAGAGATCCAACCAGAAAATACTAACCAAATCCTTATAGTAAAATCTATTAAACATTCTAGTTATAAAAAATCGAGTCTTATCATGATAACTAGAAATTCTTGTTTGATTTAACCAAAATGCCTTCAATCATATATTAATCTTGTTGGTACAATCAAACGATTTTTCTCGGTGCGGTCGTTTCTGTAATCGACTCTCTCTAGCATTTCGTATCAATTTTGAGAACGGGGTCTTAATCGCGTTAATTGTGACGTTTGAAAAGTGATACTCACTTGACAGTTTCGCACCCAAATGTCATTAGAGACATTTTTCATTATCCACATTCATACCCGCGTTAATTCCGACACGAGCGTATAAAACATTAATCATTCCCGCGAGTAATTTATCGCCAACGAGGCAACCTGGAGGGGGGAGGGGGCAAGAATCGTTTCGCAGACAGACGTAACGTAAGGCGGCTCTCTCGGCGAAATTGGAAATTGGCCGGGGAATAATATCCGACATTCCGCATCCGCGGCTTCGTCTATTATATTCGTCCGAAATCGCGATCGTATCAGTCTCCGTTTCGGCTCTATCGCAAACGAGGCGCTCGATCGTTCGAATCAATCTCCCCCTCCCCCTCTCGCGCGCGGGCGCGCGCGCGCGCGCGCGCGAGATGGTACGTATGTAATTGAGTGGATGATTGCATGCAAGCAGCCGGATATTTTGTGCGGATATTTCCAGAGCCCCGCGAATTCGGCCAAGAATCTTATTACGCTTGCAATTTAGCCGGTCCGGGAGAAATTTCGGCTCGTTTCATGTAACTTTAAATTTCATGCAAGCCTGGGCTCGCTTGCCATCGTCCGATGCGACCAATTATTAATCACGATAGCTTACAACGCGCGTTGCGCGCATTTTGTTGCGTAATTGTAGTAATGCTATCGTGCACCGTCAAGATAACGCGACACGCGATACTTTTTATATTTGTTTTCCGGAAAATGGATGACACTGTGCAAATTGGACGGTTTGCATAATCAATTCTCGAGATGAGACCAACGTACCGCATATTTCGCCTCTTCGCTAGTCATCGGTGGAAAATTCTTTTACGCCAGTTTATGCGCGCAAATATCGATCCTCTCGCGTTTCGCGACTTCTTCGCGTCCTCTATTCAAGATCGTAATATTAGCCCGTATTTATAGTCATCGAGAGACTCGGCTCGAGAGCAATCTTGATAGGTGATACGGTTCAATAGATGGATCTTGAGAGTCAATCTAATGTTTGCGATGTTATATTTATAATGGCGTTGCAACTGACGAGGAGCTCGTCTCGCGAGATGCGACCCGGCTTCTGTTTCTCGCGATTCAATAATAGATTTTCCAGAGGGAGAATTGTATGCGTACGTCTCCAATAGTCTTTGAATCTCGTATCAATTGGATCGGAAGAAACGCGTGACATTCAATTGTATCGGGAAAAGTATATTGTTTAATACATTTATATACAACGTTATATATTAGATGAAATCTTTTTGTAATAAAAATTTCAATATTCTGCCGATTAGAATTAAAATTGTGCTACACTCTTCAAAATAAACAAACTATATATTATTATTTTATCCGTTAAAACAATAAACTTTTTGTGAAAAAAAATTTTTTTCACAATAAAAGTATCTTCTGGCAATTATTTTATTATTTATTAAATTTTCACAGAGATTACAAGTAAACATAATTCCAATATAATTCCCTTTCCAGGCGTTTTTGGAAATTGATAATTTAATTTTGTTAGATTAATATAGTTTCATAAATTTAATCCAGATTACAATTTCATAAATTTAGATAAAATAATATAATAATAATAAACAATTTTTGAAGCACACACACGTTTTCAACAAAATATAATTACTAATACCTCACGATCTATTGGCAGGCATTCTGTTTACATTGCCCAATAAAGTTATTCCTGCCATCTCTAAAACGTCAAAGACGTCAGACTTGGCGATATTACGTCGTGGATTTCTACGCGCACAGACTTGACCCTTAACCTACTTAAGTTGGTAGACTTCCATATTTCCGTCATCCGGTTCAAAAACAATAAATATATTTAATAATGGCTTATTTCCTGTTTTCATTGCAGTGACCTCGAGGCCGGGATGAAATGCATCACGAAATACACGCTCAATTGCATGAAGGAGAAGCAGAGGGAGCACTTCAACTTACTCTATACCGGCACCAACCAGGTGATCATGGAACTTTGCCACGACGGTCCATATCAAGACGGTAAGTGCACTCTTGTCTAAATCATTGAACCGATGAAAAACGCCTTTGACGAAAAACCCAGTCGTAAAAGCAGTTGGCCAAAGTTGTGGAAAGAGGGGAGAAAAGAAAAATTGTTTTAAATATCACGAATATAAATTTTTGGTGGAAAAACGGAGCTTCTTTTTTTTCGCTAGACGCTTTTATATTTTTGTATATTTCAAATGTTACGAGTGTAACAATTTTAGCATTTAAACGGAGAAAAAAAGATGAAATTAAATACGCGAAATTAAAGAGAAATGCAGAGAATTGAAGAGCCCGGCAATTAGAGACACTCGTTGCGAGGGAACAATGTGTTATCGAAAGCGCGATATTAATTTATAATCGAGGATTTATAATTCGATCGAATTATAATATTCCGCCTTTTTCCAAAGATTCATTCGCGATAGTAAATTTCGCTATCGTTGGCGAAACAATGACGTGCAAAAGCCAGCGGCCCGTTTGCCAATTGGGCAAGCGGCGTCGAACAATGGTTCCAAACTGTCGGTCTTTAATCGGATAATTTATAATCGAGGATTTATAATTCGATCGAATTATAATATTCCGCCTTTTTCCAAAGATTCATTCGCGATAGTAAATTTCGCTATCGTTGGCGAAACAATGACGTGCAAAAGCCAGTGGCCCGTTTGGGCCAATTGGGCAAGCGGCATCGAACATCGATTCCAAATTGTCGGCCTTTAGTCGGATAATTTATAATCGAGGATTTATAATTCGATCGAATTATAATATTCCGCCTTTTTCCAAAGATTCATTCGCGATAGTAAATTTCGCTATCGTTGGCGAAACAATGACGTGCAAAAGCCAGCGGCCCGTTTGCCAATTGGGCAAGCGGCGTCGAACAATGGTTCCAAACTGTCGGTCTTTAATCGGATAATTTATAATCGAGGATTTATAATTCGATCGAATTATAATATTCCGCCTTTTTCCAAAGATTCATTCGCGATAGTAAATTTCGCTATCGTTGGCGAAACAATGACGTGCAAAAGCCAGTGGCCCGTTTGGGCCAATTGGGCAAGCGGCATCGAACATCGATTCCAAATTGTCGGCCTTTAGTCGGATAATTTATAATCGAGGATTTATAATTCGATCGAATTATAATATTCCGCCTTTTTCCAAAGATTCATTCGCGATAGTAAATTTCGCTATCGTTGGCGAAACAATGACGTGCAAAAGCCAGCGGCCCGTTTGCCAATTGGGCAAGCGGCGTCGAACAATGGTTCCAAACTGTCGGTCTTTAATCGGATAATTTATAATCGAGGATTTATAATTCGATCGAATTATAATATTCCGCCTTTTTCCAAAGATTCATTCGCGATAGTAAATTTCGCTATCGTTGGCGAAACAATGACGTGCAAAAGCCAGTGGCCCGTTTGGGCCAATTGGGCAAGCGGCATCGAACATCGATTCCAAATTGTCGGCCTTTAGTCGGATAATTTATAATCGAGGATTTATAATTCGATCGAATTATAATATTCCGCCTTTTTCCAAAGATTCATTCGCGATAGTAAATTTCGCTATCGTTGGCGAAACAATGACGTGCAAAAGCCAGCGGCCCGTTTGGGCAAGCGGCATTCGAGCATCGATACAATTCCAAACTGTCGGCTTTCAGTCGGAGATGGCACTAGAGTCAATAATGCATCCGGCACTCTCGAGATTACAGGAATATCGCGTAGATTGTTCGCGGGTCGATCGAGCAGGCATGACTCTTCATAATGTACTCTCCTCTCTGACGGCGAGGAGAGTACCATGTAACATAATGAATCGTTAGCAAGGAGAACAATATCGATCTCTCGCATACTGGCGTGTGACGTGAGCTCGTCTATCGTAAACAAGACGGCTATAGAGGGAAGCGGTCTTCATTTATAAAACCATCGTTGCCAAAGACCACGAGAGATGATTAGTGCGTCAGTCAACGATCCACGTGTATACGATCTTGTGATTATAGAACGCGCCCACCTAAAGTCAAGTCGTTTGTTTTTCTAGGAATAGACTCGGGAATGTAAAAGCGTAATCGATTTTCACTCTTAATCCGCGCTTAAGAATCAAATTATATGCTTTATTCTCTTCGAGCGAAATATTCCATTATTCTTGATTACGTTATTATGAATTAAAGTCATCATTTATTCAAGTTAGTTACCGTATATACGTTTTTTCTCCTTTATTTTTAGCGATATTAGATTATATATTTTCCAGCGCAAAATCGTGGCCTGATTGACCGCGAAATTTCATTATCGATTCCCGTATTCCGGCCAATACGCAATCGTCCAATAGAGGAAATAAAATTTTCTGTTTGCAGAATTCTTGAAGCACGCCCCATGCATGCAAAAAGTCAAGGCCGAGTACGAGATGTGTTACAAAACGTATCAAAAGGCTACGCTGGAAATGGAAATTATTTCAAACCGCACAGCTGTCACGCAAGAAAAGATCAAGTCATTTTGCTGGTAAGTCGAAGACTTCTTTTGTATTTTTGTGCAAAAATAATACAAAATATTTGTCGCGGCAGATTGGAATTATTTCAAAGATTTAAATGGAAATGAAGGATTGACGCGAGAGAATTAAATATTGTTAATTAAATATAGTTGAATACTAAAAAAGATACGCGATCCAGAGATACATGTAAAATTGCATTTTCTCAAGGGGATTAATTTTATTCCAACAACAAATTAAATGATGTTATAAAATTTTTATGCAAAATTAATATGCACACTTGGCCGGAATTTTCATCTTTGTAAATAGGATGCGTTTACGGTCCATTTGCTTATCCGGGAAAGTTTGTTAGCTTGGCAATGCGGAGGTAAACCTTGGAATTCAAAGCGCGAGTCAATTTGACCTAGTCACTTTTCAAAATGTAAATTCTCCATCGCGACTGTTTTATTTGAATTCTATCACGCCCCTACGGATTATCAACTTTCCCGTCATGAACATGGAATGAAATAGTCTAATATTTTTATCTTACAAAGAGAGAGTATTTGTGCAAAAATTTATTTCAATGCAGACAGACCGATATATTTGTCCTAAATGTATTTGCTCAGAGAAGGAATAATTGCAACTTGACAATAAAATTATCAATTGTATGAAATAAATAAATTGCATAAATTTGTTTGATTAAAGTTTCAGAATTTTACGCCTGATAGACTTGGAAAGAATCAATTTGCAATTATGTCGATAATTTCAGGAAATCAAGACGCAACGTGCAAAAATTAAAGCGCACGTATATGCAATATTAAATGTTCTCAATTACGCCTTCTTCTCGTGTTTCGAGAGTACAATGGAAGGTCTCTGCCGCGCGTAGCAGTATTATCAACTCTTTTCTAGACCGATAGTAAATTCGCCGAGGAGAAATCGACTTAAGATATGACACGAAAGGAAGGATCTTCGGGGCGGGGAGGAGGAGAGGGGAGGGGTAAATGCGCGAGTTACGGCCAAATAGGTTTATTAAGCAATACTGGAAATTCCGGCGTTTCGCAAAAGGATGTCAAAATCCTCTCGACTGTGATAATTTAACACTTAAGAGCTCGCCGAGTGAAACAACTGCATTAATAACGACGGGCGTTGCTCAAAGGACTCGCGCAAAAAGAGTCTAATCAGTCCTTTAGGTCGGAAGTTTCACGCTGATGCCTGTACACACACACACACACACACACATATATACACACACACAGAGGGGAGGGGAGGGGAGGGGAGGAGGAGAAAGGGACGTAATGTCATTAGCGTATCTCTGCCACGGTCTACTGCAGCTTTTGAACTTGCGCATCTCTCGCGGAAAGGGTTAGAACACAAGGGGGAGGGACGTATGTAAGTAGTGCGACCCAAAGTGGATAACGGTATCTACAAAAACGCATTTCTCGCGTCGTTCTGACCCAATTTTGGGCCATCGCGGACGTTGCCTTGCCAAGTTCGAAAGACTCACCCGATCGGCAAAAACGGACGAATTGAAAGAAATGAATTGGAAATTTCGTCCGCGCGAGAAGTTACGAGGTTTCAATTTTTGAAAATAGTATCGCGAAAGGGAAAATGGTCGGAGAGAAAAAAAAAAGAGTATACGTAAGGAGGATGTGGTTTAGAAAAGAATTTGCGACAATAATCACCGAGCGATAATACGATTTCTGCGCGCAGCATTCTCTCCACTTGCGTCTCGAATTGTTACGTTCGCTAACATTTCGCAAATGCAATTGGTAACCGCGTGTTTTATCCAATTTCAGCGTTTGAAAAGGGATTTTCAATAGAGTTTGGGGTATTTGTTTGTGTTTGCAGCTCCTTCACGGAGTACTTGGAATGCTCTCATCATGCAGTGCGCCGTCAGTGTGGCGACGATACAGCGCGATTCACGAAGGATTTCCTCGACAGAATGGCAACCTCGCTGCTAAAAGTGAGTATTACATCACTTTACATTATATCGTTCGTTGGCATCAAAAGTATGCGTCGAATACTCGCGTTAATTGTTTCCTTTCTAATTATTTTAATCACCGTCGATACCGCGTACGAGGCGCTTTGATATTGACTTTACGATAAATGTATCAATGGCTTTAAAAAAAAAAAATATGAAATTGGATTTTATATTTTTCGACAAATTGAAATTTAACTTTTCTCTGATCAACTTTTAAGGTAAATCACATTTGATTTATTCAGTTTGTTAAACAATGTATTTCAATGATTTAATATGATGTATTAGATTTTTTAATAGAACGGAAAAATACAAGTTAACATCCTTGTCACATTATTTAACAGATCGATATCTATTTCGATGTACTTGTCTTGGTATTGAATATTTGATTTAATAAATTTCATGTGCATTTCTCTTTATTAACCTTTTGCGACACTACAAATCGGAAACAATAATTTTTTTATTATCTAATATGTATACATTGTAAATTATATTATTGTCACACAATATTCAATTTAACAAGTTTATACATTCAATTTCTTCGTCATGGATTAATATAATAATAAAAGTGAGTTATATTCTTTTATTCATATCAATTGACGCGCATTTTATTATCATTTTTATTATCATTAAATGATTCAAATCTATTTGATGAAATCTTTGACATTATTTCTTAATGTTTGAAAATAAAGTACAGTGACCTGAGGAGAAAGATCGAAGAAAAGATTGAAGATTATAAAAAAAAATTGAAGAAAATCAATAAAAGAAAGCGAATATATATAGAGATCGCGAGCGACGATCTTAGCTAGTAGTAAAACCGATAACGAGGCGGACCGGGTTCTAAAGGAAGGGCGAATCGCCCGTCTTGTTTGTTACAGACGCACTGCACTTACACATGCGCTATGCTCAATGGTAGCTCGACGCCAAATCTTTCTGCCATTATGCCAATGACGCTTATTCTCCTTATGAGATACTTCACGTAATTGGCTCCAGCCAGAATCACTTTTTACCTTCGGAAGATGGAGGCTGGGAGCGCGAGAGGAAGAGGAAGGGAGGCAAAAGATGGGGAATCAAGCGAGAAGAATGGCAAGATGAGGACAAGTCGCTAGGACACGAGGAGGAAGGAGAGTCATTTGACTTTTATCGTGCTTTGCTTCAGAGAGAATATATTCCTTATTTCCGAAGAGTGCTCGAAGAATGGTGGAAGGAGAGGAGGGACCGAAAAGCCGAAAAAAGAGACGGAGAAGGAAAGCATCGAGCGAAGAAAGAGGATCCAAGGACCGGAACAAGAGGGGAAAATGTGTATATATCTAGGAAGAAGCACGTTTCTTTCTTCAAAGAGAATACGTTTTTATTTGCGAGATGGCGAGATGGTGCGGGAGATGGTGATAATCATGATTACGAGAGTAAGCGGTGTGGGAGACCAATATTAAGAGCGAAGGGAGCGAGGGGAGTGAGAAGGACACTCTAGGAAGATGCGACGGAGCATCGGAGGAAGAGGATCGGGCGGGAGAAAAGTCGTCGATGCAAAATGCACGTCGCGGAGATATCGCGAATCGAACGATAATAAAGTAGATCGCGTAGACCCAACGAGCCGTACAGCCTCGATCGATCGTTCGCCCTCGCGATCCGTCAAGCCGGCACGACATCAAGTCGTACGCAAGACTGAGTCGATTTTTTTCTTACGCGGGAGAAAAATCGCAAACGGATAAAAATGAAATAAAAATACTCTTTATTATGACCGGCGAGATCCTCCGCGAGCTGTCTCTTAATTGCGAATTGTCCTGACGAGTAGTCGCGCGAAGAGAGAATCCCACGAACACGTGGTACGGATGATGGGGAAGAAGGGCGGCGACGATAAGGGAGTTTAAAGATTTATAGCGAGCCGAGAGGAGAAAAGGCAAACGTGTCTTTCCGGCACGTTTCCGCTTCGATTTCGGAAAAGGGCGCTCGTGCGGAACGAACAAACGAGCTATCGTCGCCCTGAAATCAATTTCATCGAATAATCGCGATCTATCGATTCGTGCGACTATCGAAAGAGAGAGAGAGAGAGAGAGTGAGATATCGCCGAGAGGAGTCCAAGTAGAGCAAAGAATTTCTGTGCTCGTTCAAAGAACAGCGGATGAAATCACGGTACGTTCCTTTGCGCGAGAGAACGCGAGTGTGTTTCGTTAAAGAACGCGATCGCCCTGAGCACAAGTGTCTTCGACTTTGTCGAAAGTTCAAGAAGTAGTAAAATTGACGCGCGTTATCGCGACTTCGTCCAAGACGAGAGGATCCGCTATAACTATTCGCTCTCTCAAGACGCGGATGCGAGTAACGATAGATAGATAGATAATCACGGAGCTTCAAAAGCTCTCTAGGTATATCAAACCAATTTTCTCTCTCTACGCATTATACGAACTCTACTTTTGCACTGTATTCGGGGGCCATATACATTTTCGTATTTTGCGCACAACGAGCGAGATCCGAAAGTTTGAAGAGCATTTTTTAATTTCAGAGAGTCACATAATACGGTTTCGAAAAAAGTAGTTTGCGAAAAAAAGAACTTTTCCTCACCAGGCCGCACTAATGAATACACGCTAGAATTTACAGGGGAATTTCGCCTAATTAAAAATAGCCGAGAAATAATTAGAATAATTGCTCATTCTTTGATAAAAATTTCTGCGGAACACATAAATAACACGCGTGGATAATACTTACAAAATGCTGTTGTTCGTAAACAAAACTTGGGGATAAGTCGAGGAAGGGAAAAAATGGAGAGGAAAATGTTGCAAGCGTTGCGGGCTACTCGCGGTGCGTTTGATATGTTTGTTTGACATGACCATCTGTACAAATGCAACATGTCACACAAGATCCCAGCTAAAGAACCGGATATGAACGAGTCTATTTTTCTGGGATCCACGTAGGGTATTGTTACGTGTTAGTTATAGAGACACGTAATGTGTGTACGCGCATACATACACACATGTACACACACACACACACGAGCGCGATTGTATTCGCTGCACAAATGATAGTATTAGCACTTGCATTGTCGTGTCTTAATTGTAAAGTAGGCGAAACGAGCGAAGGAATGATTGTGTGAGAGCGAGTGAGAGAGAGAGAGAGAGAATAAATTTCCATATATCAATTTTCATAGCATTCGTCATTGAAGCATTACGCGATTCTCGATACGACCGAAAGTATCGATAAAGTATCGATTTACTTAAGTATTTTTTCTTGCGAACAAATTTTTATTAAGCAATTTATTTGTTAGAAATATTCCTGTTGCGGTTCCTATTATTTTATCTTAAAATAGTCGGTGTTTCGATGTCTGGCTTTCATTCTGGAATATTACTTTTGCGACGGAAAGATAATTCCATAAATTGATTAGTTTCACGAGAATGTTTACGACATCACGGATATGTGTCGCAAACAATTAATCGTGACCAATTGTTTGACTTATGAGTTATTATAAAATCCATATGAGAGAAAGTCACGGTATTTAATCAAACGTGTCCCATTCATGCAATTATCGATATTTCTCTATTATCCTACGCGCCATTCGGAGAATATAATGCAGATTAATAATCTAGAAATTAAATTCCGTTCAACGAGGGATACGTTTATCGATAGCTCGCCCTGCACGTGCATATAATGCCAACTCGATGTCGACATCATTTATAATTTATCATTTCATAGAATTTGCGCACGCTTTTAATGGCGTAATATTAAAACAAGCGATAAAACACATTGTTTCTGTACATCTTCTCTGGACTCTCGAGAATCGTTTCATCGAGAGGAAAGAGACCACGGCATGCCTGAACGGAGAGATATATTTATTTGTAATATATATAATATAATATATAATATATATATATTATAATATATATAATTAATTAAGAAACGCATTGTAAATATTATTGAGCTGTCGAGCTTAAGAGAATGTAAGATAACTTAAAAATACATTCGCAATAAAGTTGTTATTTTTCTTTAAAAAAGAAACACGTCTGCGTCTGTCTCGTTAATTCCGATATTGTCCCCAAAGTGCAACGCACGAGCGAGGGTGCACGACGCGTATTGTGTACAGATACGAGCACGCATGCGCTAGTGTCAGGAGCTCGTAAAGTAATAAGCTCCCTTTAACCCTTTGCCGGTGGTTATGATACAGCGTTCCGCCCAGGGACGATGCATCCAAATTGGCGCGTCAGTGCTAAAGGCCATCGAGGCTCGTGACAGATACATCGATGAATGACGTATTACCTGATGAATCGCGCATAATTACAGATTCTGCGAGTTTATCTTTTCTTTTGCGATTATATATCGAAAATGAAGTTATTTGTTATATTTATGTATTTATATATTTAATATTTGTTATATTTATGTAATTTTCTCATGTAACGTCATTATGCTTTTGCAAAGGATAATTGGAACGTTCATGGGTTTTACTGAAAAAAAAAAATGCGAATATCATTATTTCAACTTTTGTTTTTTTTTTTTTAATCCTTGTAACGGTGTCTCTTTTTTTACGTGTCATATTGTGTATCTTGATAAAGAGAAATAATCTTGTTCCATTTTCCAGGATTATAGGATTTTATTGGAGATGGATATTCGAGCAAAAATACACTCTTCTTTAGCAAAGAGTTTGTTAGTTAAAATTTCTCGATAGATTATTTATGTTTTTCATCCGTTTGTGGCGCATTACGTTTGATAAACTGCACGTGATGGAGTGCACTCTAAAATACCAAAGCTAATAGAGAATGACCGCCAAATAAGTTTGCATCGCGGAATTAGTAGTAATTCCGCATTCGCCAAGTTTCCAACTAGTTACGTACTAGATTACAGGGATTTGCGGAAGGCATACGAGAAGAAAGAGGACGCCAAGGGTTAGTTAACTATGCCCGTAACGATTACACAGGCGAAGAAACAACACGCATTAATTTCAATAAGTCCCAATGCATATGTGTACAAGTTTGAAAGGGTAAGGACATACGTATAACATCGAAAACCGGGTCGATTTATAAAAAATTTCGCAAAATTTCGCGCGTCATCGAAATTCGCGCAAAAAGAAGCTCCTCCGGTTGCAAAGATCCATCTTTCTCGCGCAAAATCCGATTGCGTTGAAAATTTGCGTATAATTATCGCGTAATGCGAGTATCGGACGCGATGTTTGCCCTCGTGAAACATTGAATTTTCCGCTCAAATTCTTTTTTTTGCATGTCAATCACACTCGTGCGTGCGCGTCGACGATCGATAGATGCGATAGATCGCTATCGTACGCAATAATACGCGCAATATTGCAGCAAATACAAACGAGAAGTCAGAGTTTCCGCGCGCGAGAGGGTGTTTCGCCTCCTCCCTCTTCCCCCCCCTCCCCTTTCGCGTCTCCTGTAACCCGCACTCGTATTTCCCGTCGTGTTCCCCGTAGGAGCAGCTTTTACCGGGGAATTATTGGTTTATATACGAGCCGGGTATAAAAAAAATACGCGACAAAGGCACAAGTCCCACACGTAGCCAAGGTTGCCTGTACATACGTGCGTCCTCTTCAACCTATACACGCGCGTATCATTTAGCTTCTGTTTTCCCCATCCCGGTGACTTCCTCTGGAGTTGTCAGCGTCCGACGAGTATCGATGGCGAGTTTTGTCGATGGTTAATGGAAATTAATGGATCGCTCTGGCGGGAAACGAATGAAAGAGAAAGAGAGGGAGAAAGGTGCGAAAGGGGAGCCGCTGTCGGGACGTAGCATGAATAATTTTCCTCCCGTCGTTCGGATTATTATCTATTATCATTACCGCGACAGAAAAAGATATCACGTGGATTATTGAGGAAATTCGATTCGAAATTTTGCGACTCGCGCCGCATTAAATATCTTCATTTCCGTCCGAATTAAGTCGGGCATTTAAGCGTCCATTTTGTCGCTTCTGCCTTTTGAATAAGTCCAGATTCCTTCCCTCGATAATTTGACGAGTCGCCACCACGGATTAGCTTGGAATTATTCCAATCGTATGCGATTGATCGCGATAATGCAACTTATTTTCGTTCGAATATTCTTGAAATATTGCCGTCGCGACTTGCGTAATATGTAGACGTGCATAAACACAGAAAAAAAGTGTCGTATATACGCATTTCTAATCTTCTTAGAAGAATTTAATAATTTTAAATTTCAACAATATTATAGTCTTATTTCAATATTGTGATTGTCACACCTCGAGAATATATAATTATTTAATTCTATTTTAAGAAAATTATAATCTTTGATTTAAAAATGTTATTTTCTGTTTAACGTTGTTTCCTTTCCTCTCAAGAAAATTAAATCTTAAATCACATAAGAATATATTTTTGATTGAACTATATCAAATGGCTTCGTTTAAGCAAGTTTCAAACAATTATATTTTTCTTAACGCGATATAATCATTTCAAGATTTCCATGTTGAAATTAAAGATATTTTCAAAATAGGAATGTCCTTTTTTTCTGTGTAGATATATTTGCGTTTTTCATATCGCTCTTCACGAGGATAAAACCGAGAGAAATATCGATTGTAATTATATAATGATTGAAATTACGATCGATCCTTTTCAGTCATCAATCATGGAATGTCGAGGGAAGATCATTTTTTTTCATTTAGCTTTAATTATATACCAGCGAGAAAAAGTGCATTGTATCCTTCGTTTGTTTCAAAGTAATATCCGACAGCGAGCACTCGTAAAGTTTCGCTGTAAATCATTTAGAGGCGGCGGGGAGAGTTAAATGTCTGAAAATAATTGATTCTCCCAAATCAACTAACTTCGTAACAAGGGAAATTCATTCTTTAAACGGTTTTACTACATGCGCTCAATTAGCCATTCTATCCATTCTGCGTTTATATAATCGACGGCGGGGGTGGGGGGAGGGGGGAGAGGAGAGAGAGAAAAATATCGCGTTCCCGATGATTCATCTATGTGTTTATGATTGCGTCTGTCGGCATTTCCGATTTCGCCCCCCGGGGTAATAGCCGAAAAACCATTTGCGTGTCCACGCAAACTATAAATAATCGTCGCCGTCGATCTCGGACCCGATGATTTATGGTTAATTTGAACTGAATTTTCATCCGGTGGCACGCGTGAATATGCGCGAGACACGGCACGCGTGGGCGAGCATCGCGCCTAGTTTTTGCACGGGGATTCCAACTCTGCCAGTCATATCCTGATCGAATGCATTTCGCCAAGATTTATTGCCCGCGAGCTTTCATGCCATTTTGGTCAATGTGTGCGTGCAGGAAAATCTTTCCGCGAACAATCGAAACAAATTCAACACCATCTATATTATTTATCGAAAATTTCATTTAAAACTGAATTGGCAAAAGCGCCGTATTGTCTCGATAAATTTTGGATTACATGCGGATTACAATTTACTTTTATCTCGCGCGCGGCGAATTTGTTTGTTTTTTTTATCTAGCGGTGACACGTTAAAGCGCGTGCGGAAAAAGAGAGAGAGGGGAGGATTTTATCGATCAGAAATAATACCATTTGAATTGTAGTAATTTCATAATCGTAATTCCAATTAACTCTAATTGATATGGAACGAATATTGCACGCGCCGACGTAAATAATCCAACAGAGTTTCGCGGTCGTTTAAAATTAAAAGTTTAAAATTTAACGAAATAAATGTAACGAATCGCACACTTTTATGTTGAAAATTCAATGGAAAGGCGTCTCATTAACAATTATATTAAAATATTTCGCAGTTACGCTTTTCTAGAAATTATTTTTCTGCGTTGGTTATTACGCACCGTGTGTTGTGTTGACCCAAGGCTTTTAATTAGTTTACGAGAGAGCACTTATGTGTGTTTCGTTGCGTTGGATTGCTGATTTAA